CAAACAAGCAACTTTTTATGAACTTTCTCTCCTCAGGTAATCTTAACTCATGGAAAGAGTTCGATCTTGACGGGCCGGGTGGATTTTGCTACTACTGGAGAGGCTTGGCCGTGAGTCGCTCGTGCTCTCGAGAAGGAATTTCGGAAGAGGCCCGTTGATGGGTCTGCGGCGGTTTCGCAATCAGCGGAAATTCAGAAGTTGCCGTTCCATTATTGCGTATGAACTGTAAAGAATACCAAGCAGTGCTCCAATGTCACCTGTTGCCCTTCCTTAGCGAAGCGGAGCGAAAATTGCATTTTTAGCAACAGGACCACGTGTCTTTCGATGCTTCGCAATCTACCAAAGAATGGCCTTAACCAAATGGTGCTGAAGCGATAGATTGGCTTGTGTGTCCTCCTTACTGCAACCCTATAGGGAGCCCTTGATCAAGGCGTTAACTTTAGCAACCGGCAGTATAATACCGCGGATGAACTGAAGGCGGCGGTAGAGGCTATTTGGGCCGACAGCGACGAAACAGCTATGCCAAACGTGGTTCAGATTATGCCGGACAGGATGTTTGAGCTAATTAGAAACTCTGGAGGCCCCACTGATTTCTAATCTCAGCTATGTTTTTGTCTTTTGTTAAGTGTGCACATACTTTTGAAACAAAGAAAAAAATTTCATCCAAAATTTTTTTTCGAAAGTGAGGCGATATTATCTGCTTTGCTTCCATTGATAGGTTATCGACTACGAGAAATCGATTGAGAAGGATTTCATAGCACGAAACCTCATGGTTCCCTTTCAAACGTGAATTTTGAGGGTGTGCACATACTTTTGAAACGCACTGTATGCGTTCTTATACTAGGGACCGTTTGGAAAGCTTTACGCTGGACTGAGTGAAGCCTTGAGCTGAAGAAATCAGGTGAGGTCGTATTTGGGGTGGTCGTGATCTATAGGCGCTGATTCGGGGCGCAGGGAGGGATAGTCCGATAGAGCGATGCCAGTGCTATATGGTGGATGAGGTATCGTGGCCCTGGCTATCTCCCCAGAACGTGGTGAGTTGGCATTGCAATGTGAGGTCGGATCCATTTGGAGAAAGGAGATTCTGAGACGTTTCTGACGGTTCCCTCGCAATACCGAAGCCAGCCTAGAGAACTATTCCGCGCTGAAGTTCGCAATGCTTGTTTTTGTCCTCTTACAGTGAAGTGGGTCCTCAACCAGGACAGCCGGCAAGCACATCAAACCGAGGGTAATATCCTCAGAATACGGGTTTACGATTTGGTTGAGCTGGTGCTTCCTGGCTGCGAGGAAGCCATCAGCCGTGTGTTGTCGCAGTGGACTCATGACTCATCTCCACTGGTGACCGACTAGGGAAGGCTCTGCTGGCTCCGATCTCCCCAGATGGTCGGACGTGCTTCTCGGTCATGGTCGGTCGGTCCATCAAGTTGCCATTCTGCTGCCGCCCAGTTCGCCCTAATGGCGTGTCCATTGGCTGCGCTGAGGTATCTGCTACAATACCCTGGTAGCAACGTCCGGAGGCACTCCCAATTTAGGGTGCAAGGGGCGCTCATCAAAAATGACCGCAGGCCCAGTATGAGGTTGAAGTTCACAGCTCGTTTCGTCTTTGCCGTTGCGATTGGACCACTAGCTCAGTACCCTATCAGTAGCAGAGACTGAGTCAAACACAGCGCTGATCTTCTCTGTTGTCCTCCTTGCTACAGAGTTCATTTGAGGATCGTAAGCATAATCATTCATTATTGTCACTGACCTATTTTTATTCCTAGTTGATTAACCCGTTAAGGGCTTGCTCTTCCGAAACCACGCTGTTAAGGCTCTTGAAGCATACTTCAAAATATTGAACGTATTTCGCAATGAAAATAGTCTTACAAGGAAAAGTTCTCGAGGTCGCTTCAAATAGCCTACTTAGCCTAATTCCTGAAGAACGCTTCAGGATTATAATAAGTAGGCTATTTGAAGCCTTTCAGCTGTATTCTGAAGAAGGCAAAACAGTACGCGATCAGGGGCCGATCCTACGACGTTTTGACTGCAAATCCCGACCACTGCCGTTGCGCTGTTTTGCTTCATAACTCCCTTCAGAGAATCGTTTAGCAGATTTGGAAGGTAGATTTGAGATCAGCGTATCTACGGTATACATTTCGTATGGCACCTGAGACGCCTTCCGTTTTAGACGAAGAAATTTCAATTTGGAGAAATGGGTCAGGAATTAGGGGAAGCCCAATGTAACAGAAGGGTACGTGCCAGACGCCTTTCAAAACGGTTTAATCGGGAGGCTTACATTGTTCCAGTTGCTGCAGAGTCACAGCGTTTACTTCTTCCTATTGAATCAAGCTGTATTTTTTTCCACGTTTTCCACGTTCCTACTGTTTTTCAATACAACTAACTAAAGTGTCACACCGGAATGACGGAGATATTTGCTTCTTCAATCACTTAATTCAGGGAATAGATTAGATCTCAACGTTACATCAACGAGAAGTGGAGAAAGATCGTTGACAGCGAATGGAAGTCTTGTGAGGCATTGCCATCTGTTCATGGTGAAACTTCTGCCAGCATTATTGACAATGGATAGGAGAAGGCTTCAAAAGAAGGTTATGTGGCTGGAACTGGGGCGTAAGCAAACAATTCAGGTAACTTTGTCCGCTTCAGTTTTCGAACAATTTTTCTTACAGGGGGGGGGGAGGGGGAAGATTCGAGTACCCGACAAAAAGCCTACCGCTCGGCGAGAAGTCAAGGATGTAGAGGAATTTTCGGCGAGTCATGCACTCTATGCTTTTATTCTATTATATCTTTTACACCGCCTATTCGATTTCAGGCAAGAGTAGGCGTGGGAACTTGCGCCCCTCGCCGCGCGGGTAACTTGCGATCGAGTTGTTTCTCTGCGTTGCATGGAATCCATCCATCAGAAGAAGCAAATTTCATTTTCCATGCGCTTAAAAGATTTGCCAGGGGTGGAACGTCGTAATGGATTTATCACGTGCATTTGAAAAAATAGGAATAAAAATAGGTCAATTCGCGTAGAAGTGAAGTGCATCCATCGTATGTAGTGCAAACGAACGAGAGTTTCTCGAATTCCATCGTCAGATTACCCGCTTCAGTGGTCAAATGGTGTGCTGAGCAGTGCAGCAGCCCCACTGGGACCGTTCCAAGAGGCTCGCAACAGCGGATGATTATGAAGAGTTTCTCTTGATTACAAATAATTAGATAGCGATTATAAAATACCAAAGGAACATCAAAATGCCTAGAACAAGTCCCACCAATTACTCGTCCCTCTATAAATTTTCAGGTAATAAGTATCACTAACTATCTCTCTTTCAACTGTCCGGACAGACTTCCCAGTTGCGGTGAAGACGTTCCGGCTATTTGTGTGCATAATGCCACTATGGGCTGGCGTTGTTATTCCTTATATGGAATTATGACTGAATCCGTCAATACATCTTACCAGGAAGGTCTTTCAGGGCGACGAGCTTTTTGAAAACGGTCTTTTGCATGATATAGGGGCAGATGCGGGGACCACAGAACCATGTTTAATTTTTCCTGAACGGCCCTCTGAATACCAGAAAAGGGGTCCCTAGTTCGATTCCTCTTGGTGACAAATTTTTGCATTTCGAGTTGACGTTCCAAAATTCGCGCAAAATGGAGTTAGCATGAATAATTAGTACCATATTCATGATTAGGGCCGTCAGTAACTCCTTACAAAAAGACTTTGACTTAAAAATTGGTGTGAGAGGTGTGACATCAAGCAGCCCCACTGTGGTGTCACACCTTTTTCACCAGTTTTTTAATCAAAGTCTATTTGTAAGGGTTACTGACGGTCCTAATCATGAATATGGTACTAATTCATGCTAACTCCATTTTGCGCGAATTTTGGCAACGTCAACTCGAAATGCAAAAATTTGTCACCACGAGGAATCGAACTAGGGACCCCTTTTCTGGTATTCAGAGGGCCGTTCAGGAAAAATGAACATGGTTCTGTGGTTCCCGCATCTGCCCCTATATCATGCAAAAGACCGTTTTCAAAAAGCTCGTCACGCCCTGAAAGACCTTCCTGGTAGGACGATCGTGTTCAAGAAATTCAATATAGAATAACAACGAAGCCCAGAGAAGGCATTATGTCATGTTTGATGATGATCCGCAAAGGGAACAAAAAATGTTGCTTTGCCCCCCATAGTCATGCTTTTTCCCTGTCAGGGGTAGAATCAGGGCTTAGCTAGAAATTTATCTTCTGTTCGGACCTCCACTTCAGTTGCGACTTTGCTTAGGCTCGCTCACACTTTCACTTTTATGAATTCTGAGAACAGCACCGCAAAAGTCACACCGAATTCTATGTTCCAAGATGTACCTTAAACATCCTGAAGGGTCTTGAGCGGCCTTCCCTTATGAGGGTTCACATATTCATTGTTCTTTGAAAACTATTTTGTACTCAGATTTGTGCGGCACTGATGAAAATGATGGACAATCCAAAGTGTTTCATGACGATGTTTAATTTCACTATGGCTATGCTGGAGAAGAACGTTGTTGCTTGAGCTGGAATTACACTTAAGAAAAAGACTACGTTCTCTTTGTGAAACTCGGTACAATAGGTAAATAAGATATAGTAAGTAAATAAATAAATAAAAATAACTTGTAAAGTGCGTTAGGGTTGAGGCCGCAACTTGTATGAACCAGAAAAGACTTACTCAACAGTGCCTATATGGTTATTAAACACTTTGACGACAGCGCGGGACACATACGTCCCGCACTTTCACACGGAAGAGACTTGTTTTTCCTAATTTGTGCCTCCATTTTCATGCTTCAAGACTGGCCCTTCCTACTGTTGGATACGAAAAATAGTTCTCTCGTTACCACTAATGAAATTATTGGTAATGTAGTAACTGTTAATGCAAATTTGTAAAATAAGGTGGGTAGGTTCGCGCACAAGGGCGTGTCGTCAACGTGTTAAAAAAATATTAATGTCTTTGCCTAACGTGTGAATGCTCATCTCATTGTTAGCGCTTTCATACAAATACAGTTTGGCTTTGCACACTGCGCGTGTCTGATATGCGTGCCATCCTCCACCTCCTACATGAACGGCGCTCAGTATAGTTGGCGGGTTGGCTCGACATATTCTCTCTCCGTTGAGAGAGCGCAGAGAAAACGAATAGTGGGAGGCGAGCACACGTTCAGCGCGTCAATGCGTCGCGCATTGTACGTGACTACAGCAGAACATTATAATTCACGCTTACTTCGGGTGCTCGCTCTGTCCAAACGGCTTAAGTCGGCAATCCCTGTCGAAGTTCCCCACGTCGAACTCGTGGAATTGAAAATATCGTGTTTGAAGCATCGTTAAAATAAGGTAACAAAATTCGTTTAGCTAACAACTTGACATTACGAGAATTGTTAAAATGGCTATGCGCTCTGGCAGTAAAATGCACTGACACTGATCATACAGTTGAAAGAGTTCTGAACACTGTCGCCGACGATCTTCTGCAGGTTTTGAGCGAAGAAGTGAGCGGCTTTTAAGTTTTTACTATTTTACAATCGTAATTTACATTTACTTCAAGAATGATGACTGCAAATTCAAATTCGTGGAACACGCATCGCAAGTGACTATTTGCGACTTCCTGGCCTCCTTTATTGACAAGTCACTCGTTGGCGTACATTCTGTCGTTTCATTTGCAGCAACGTTCCAAGCGAAAGACCAAAGAAGTATGTTTGCACAAATTTTTTGTTAAATGGTTATATAACCCATAGAGACACCAAAATTTATTTCGAAACAATTCCAAAAGTTCGCAAAATTTCAAAATTCAAAAAACTCCAAAATTCCAAAAAACAAGAAAAAATTTGAAAAAGAATCTCCTTTGAAATCTTCCGCGATATTTCGGTGTTTAACACCTTCTTCAGGCCTGAAATACATTGATTATAGTGATAAAAATAATTTGGTGGTTTCCCGAACCCATATATACCCACATGTGTTTGCCTCAGCCAAGTATAAGCTGCCCTTACGGGAGCCGCGCCGTTGGAGTGGAATTGAAGTTACCCCTCCCCCCACCCTCTCCTCTGCTTAAATATTGCCGTAATAGTACGGCTCGGTTACTATTTAAGCAGAAGGTGAGCGGTAAGTTACCCAATTTCACTCCGACGGCGCGGCTCCCGTAAAAGCAGCTTAATACTTGGCTGAGGCATACACATGAGGGTATATGTGGGTTATACGAAAACCACCAAATTACTTTTAGCAGCTATAATCAATGTATAAGCATGACAAAGGTGTTTTACACCGAAATATCGCAGAAGATTTCAAAAGAATTCTTTTTGAATTTTTCTCAGGTTTTTTTTTGGGATTCTGGATTTATTGAATAATTGGAATGCTTGTGAATTTTTCAAATTCTTGTTTAAAATGCATTTGGTGCCTTTTTGTGTTCTGTAAGATCATTTCCTGATGAAGCTCCTCAACAGCCCAATACTAACTTCGGAGCCACCAACCAGGAAAGGCATTCAACTTCCCATGGAACTTTGAATTGAGACCCAGATATATCGATAGAGCTTCAAACGCTGATTACAAATATGGAAATTAAAACTGCAAAATGTCCAAGGAAGTTGTGAGCAGTCAAGTTGACGTAAGCAAACCAGCCCTTTTGGCGCTTCGGCTGGGACCGTATGCTGAATGTTGGGGAGGGGATGGAGTCTCCGACGGTGGACGGACCACTTCAACTCGGTCCTTAGAACCGCCACAATTTGGTGCTTACCTCAGAACTAAGCCTTAAAGAGAGGACGGGTCCGTCCCCTCTCCAAGGCTTAGTCCTGGGGTGAGCAAACCAGCCTTCTGGCGGAGCTGCTGGACCAGCTGCACCACTTGCGTCAGTACTCTCCTATCGTACCAACCGAGTTGAAGTAAACCGTCGACCGCTTGGGGTCCCCATCCCCTCCCAACATTCAGCATACGGTCCCAGCCGAAACGCCAAAAGGGCTGGTTTGCTTACCTCGTCAACTGTGGATATACTGAGGGCAGAAGTATTACCATTTGCCGTGCTAGCCTCACGGGCTTTCCTAAAGCAGCCAGGAGTAGTGGCGTGCTCTCCAGAATATTGCACTACAACGGAAAAAAGAACTCAGTAAGCCTCCCGGGTGCAGTTGTTTTTTTGGCAGTGAGAGCGTACTATTACACCGGCCGCGGCATTGTGAAAAGCCTGAGTCTGCCGTGCACCAGCCTCTCATATGCAACGCTTTTATGTGGCCCAATTTGAACTGCTCACAACTTCCATGTCAGGTTATGTTTTGCAGTTGTAGTTCCCATATTTGTGATCAGCGTTTAAGCTTATCCATAAACCCGGGACTCAATTCGAAAGCTCCATGGAAAGTTCAGTACCTTCCCTGGTAAGAGATTTTTTTTTTTTTTGTTCTTGTTCTCGAAGTTTCAAGTGATTTTACCTATCGTTCACGAGCAGCAATGTCGTATCCCTGTGAGCTCCATTTTCAGTGGACGAAGTGCTTGTGGGTGCACTGCCCGCTGCGCTTGTGAGCTGACATGTAGACTTCTACCGCTTCACTCACAATTCGCGGTTCAACGAGAACGGCTTGTTCAGACGTTAACCACTCTCTTCAGTGCAATTCAGGAGCCAGTTGACTTGGTTGGTGATGTAATGGTTTATGAATGCATGATCACTGTTTTATTGATTTCAGTTGTTGCAGTATTTTGCATGACCTTTAAAATGTTACAATAAGCGTGGAGAGCGAAAACTGGCAGTTCCTGGAAATGTCGTTCTTATTCAAAAGTCAAAAGTGGCTGCTCCCTTTTGAAGACGTTCGGATGGCTAAATTTTTTTTACAAAACAAGGATTAAAGTCAACAGTAAAGCAAAGGAACACGCATACGAATTTAAAGTTCTCATTCTCCATTATAGGGTAACAGTTCAGCTAGTGGGTTCGGAATGAACCACGTTCACTAATTTCCTGACACAAGCCGTTTTAACAGTCCGATGAGTGACCGCTACCGTAATCCACGTTGGCACTGGAGCGCGCAGCTACACTACTGCTGTGTACCCACACGTTTCAGCACCAACGTGAGAGGGTATAATGCCTCGCTGGCGAGTGCACAATACCCCCAACCACCACAGCCGCCCTTGGGCGACTATCCAAAAATACACGCAGCGCTCGCCTCGCCGCTTGCGCGGCGAGGCAAGCGGCTGCGCGCGCTTCGCGCGCAGGGCAAGGGAGGTTAGCCCCGCCAAGCCACTTGCCGGCAAGTTCGACCAACTGCCATACTCCTCCTATATACCAGCACTGGACGCTCCGTACAAGAGCCAGGTTCTATCACGCCCATTCTGTCGCCGTGGAGTGCGCGGAAAAACGACAAAAGGGCACGTCGAATTCGATGACACGTGACATTGCGCGCCAACCAGTCACGTGTTACGGTTGCGGTCACTCACCGGACTTCGTAATCTCTCTAATTTCCCTGACAAAGGAGCGCACGTACATTGGTGGCTGCGGAACGGTCGTGTTTGAAATTTTTATGAATTCCTTTGTATTTAGGTGGCTATGGGGTCTTAGTGAAGAATTGAAGGGGGCGTAAAGCAGAAAATTTGTTGTTGCAAAGTCACACCACTGATACCTCTTCGGAGGAATTTTCGGGACGGGATGGGGGTATTTGACTAGGGCTAACAACATGTCCAAATCCAGAAGTGTCGAGTGCAGATCACACACCCCAAGTGACGACGGCTTCTTCAAAGCATGCTTTTCTGGCTAAGAAATGATAGACAGTCTAGCTGATCCCGGGTTTGCCGCTAAATTACAACTATCATTACACGATCCACTACTCACTATGAACCTGATAAAAAATGTTTGGCATCGCCATCTGGTTGTTCTGCACTCGACGCTTTTCGGTTTCTGGGTATGTGGTTTGTGACCTTGAGCATCGGCTTTTAGATGCTGAACAATGTGAAGTATGTGCCTGAAATGGTCGAGTGGAAATCAGTGGTAGCTCTTAGCAAGCTGCTCAAAGATAAGGTGCGTTACAACTAGTCTGAGAATTTCCTTCATCCTTCCGTAGATATACCACACTGTTATAGTTACAAGCGATTATGGTTATTGCTGACGAACATGTGGGCATTTTCAATCCTGAAGAGATGAAATCGTCTCGAAAGAAAACGTACCTATTTGTGGTTGTTCATATTCACTATGTCCCCTTTACCTATAGATTTCAGGACTCGAAAAGACGAAGTCATTTATGTGAAGTACGTACGAGCTCGTGAAGCACTACAGAGCCGCGTGCTGAGAATCTCGGAAGCTTTGAAAGAAGAACAGCTGAATTTTCAAGTGAAGGTGGGATGAGATTCAAGACTCACGGTTACGTCGAAAAGCCAAGGCTTAAAACTTGGTATTTATGTGCGCGAGTCTCAAAGCTCTACGTGTCGACATGACCGTGCGAGCACTTGGCATTTCATGTGCATGTCTAAATCGCTCATCGCCCCATTGACTATCGCAATTTAAGGTCCCCTCTATCTGACTCTTTCGCGAGTCAACATTTTCTATTGGCTTTTTTCTCTCCAAAAAGCAGACACTAATCCAGGGAAGGCACTCAATTTCCCAAGAATCTTTGAATTAGGACCCATATACAGGGTGGCCGAAAAGTATAGGACGCGGCTTTGACCGCTTGCTGGCACTGAGCCGTGGAGTATTTTCAGAGTGTTTCGAAACTCTTCGAAAGCTTTGAAACTATGTAAGAAGCACCATAAGTTGTTTGGTCCAAAGTTCATCTGAACTCTCGCCATGAAGATTTTTTTTGCATCGACCCATTACCAAGAGGCTGCCCAAAATGACAAGATAAATACAAATAAATGCAACTGGAAAGAATAACGTCATATCACTATTATAAAGAAATTAATGTTCGAATAAGATATAAAAGTCAAGCACACGTCTTTGGGATTGTGAAATGTGGAAGTTCAAGGCTGTTGCATCTGGGTGGTCCCCGGGCATTTTGGCACAGCGAAGAAACTACTGAACTAGACTATCTATTCCACCTTCAAACCCACAATGAAATATGAGTTAGAGAGTTGATGCACGATCAGACAAACATTCACGGGTTTTACCCATTACAGATAGAACAATATTTTTATGAACTCAACTCGAAACGAACATTAGTGAACTACAACGGATAAAACGACTACTTAGAGAGTCCCAAGAAAGATCAGGGGCCTATGGCCAGTGAACTAGAATTCCAGGTTGGTAAGTTTCATAAGACATTCTAAGGGCCGGAGCCCCACGGGACCGTAGCGCAGAAAATTTGAGAAAAAATGAGCCGCTCGAAGCGGAAGTAAAGACAAGAAGAATTAGGGCCGGCTCGTGACGAGAGCCACCGTCGTTGCCGAGGGTGGGATTCCCGCACGATCATGTTGATTGTAGGGGTCAATTGCTACGGTGACCACCGCGGGCGTCGCCGAGGGTCCCTCGGAGTGATCCTCGTGATACACGACAAAGGCTGTGCACACTCAGAGGATTGGGGCAATCACCTAGAAGAGGATGGCTCACAACGATGAAGCCAGCGTGAGTCACATCGCTTTTGATCTCAGGATCTGCCGTCACTCCTTCCAGAAATCTTGGGAAGCAATCATTATTTGAAGAGGTTACCGACTCTTTCTATGCTGGTTTTTATTGGAGCAACCCGAATAGATTCAACTGATAAAATGCAAAAAGTTTCTGCACGAGCTCGAGGTGCGCCGCATCTCTCTTACGGATTGGGTTAATGAGAAAATTTTCGAACTAAACTTCTTTGCGACCACCAAAGTCAGAGGCAGTTGTTGCCAAAAAAGTGAGAGCAAGTCTCCGAGATAACGTCTAGTTTACAACAGACTTTCTCCCGAAGGTGTGGTAGTTTGTGACGGGGTAACATCCAAAAGTGCAGCTCCATTGGAGTTCATCTTCCACAAATGTTAAAATTAACTCGAAGGTCTTGCAAAAGACTTTAATGAGGTACGGTATGTTGTTCTGGATTTACGAGCATTTTGCTCAATGATCGTTTGCTCTTCAATGAAGCTGGGCTCCCTAATACGCGTTCAAATCGACCAAAGCCATCCTGGGCGCTCACTTCCCGGGCCACTGGAGCAAGGAATTGTGACCTTCTTCCTCTCAGGCCCTTAACCCGATGGACTCCTCTATGTGAGGATGTTGTAGAGCAAGACCTCATAAGACTTCTCCAGCTCGGTGGGTGCTCTGAAGTTAGCGCTTCAGAAGAGGTGGGACGACATCGCCGTTGGCTACCTGCGGCGCACTGCTGATTTTGTCGTTGGACGTCAGAAGGCCTCTCTCAAAGCAGAGTCGTCAAATTCAAAGCATTCTGCACAAGTGATCAAATAGCTTAACTCTATCTTTGTGTGAAGTCGGTTTCCTGATCGAGTCTCTTTCTTGGCTTTTACACACAAAAACATGGCGTCCTATACTTTTCGGCCACCCTGTATATCGATAGAGCTTCAAACGCTGATTACAAATATGGAAACTAAAACTGCAAAATGAACCTGCCAAGGAAGTTGTGAGCAGTCAAAGTTGGCTGAAAGTAAAGCGTTACATATGAACCGTGCTAGCCTCCGGGCTTTCAGAGTCGCCGTGGAGTAGTGGTAGTGCTCCCTCGCTCTCACCCGGGAGGTCATAATTCTCTTCACGTTAGAGTGCAAGCTTTGAGAGCACTACCACTACTCCATGGCGACGAGGAAGCCCGGAGGCCAACTTTGACTGCTCACAAGTTCCTTAGCAGGTCTCATTTTGCAGTTTTAGTTCCATATTTGTAATCAGCGTTTGAAGCTCTATCGATATATCTGGGTCTCAATCTCAAAGTTCCATGGGAAGTTGAATGCCTTCCCTGGTAAGTTTTTTTTGTTGATAAATTTCCAAGAAAAAGCCTGCTCTGCCGTAGTCATACTGAAAGAATGAGAAACACAAGAATTTCAGGAGTCTTCTTCTTCTCCACTTGTTGTTTAGCTTGTCCCGCTTGATGACGGGGTCCGCTTCCTTGATATGCTGCCACTTTTCCCGCTCAAATGATTTGTCGGGGTGGATGTTGATTTCAAGTCTTTGTGCAACGTATCGAGCCTGCGCTGTTTTGAGCGATCACCCATCTTGTCGACAATTGGAGCCACACCGAATCGCTCTCTGATGACATCGTTTCGAATGTGGTCTAATCGTGTGACTCCGGCTGTCCAACGCAGCATCTTTGTCTCCATCACACTGAGACGGGCTTCGACTTCTTTAGTCGCAGGCCAGCACTCAGCACCGTAAATCGCGACTGGCCGGATGACGGTTCTATAGATCTTAGATTTGAGACGTTCTGGTATGTTCTTATCGCAGAGAACGCCAGTCATCGAGCGCACTTTGACCAGGCTGCATTCACGCGAGAATTCGTTTCAGAGACCAGACTGCCGTCAGACGCGATTGCTGATCCAAGATACTTGAATGTTGTTGTACGTGTGAGCTCAGTACCATTGATCTTAATAGAGCCTGGCTCACTCGAATCGGTGGTCAAGTACTCAGTCTTTTTGACGTTCAACCTGAGCCCGAACATAGCCAGACGGTCGGACCAGGCTTGCACCACTACAAAAATGTTCAGAAGTGGCATGAGTTTCGGAATATCCTAATACTATCATTTATATTTTAATTGTATGGTCGTTTCCGATGGATAAGTTACTGCGAATCTTCAATGGTAATAACTGTTAAAGTTTTCTTCACCTCTACCTTCACATTTCATTGAAATTCACCGCGTCCCATAATTATAATGTGAGAAACTCAGATATGCCTACTTGTTCTTTTCAGAAGAATGCAATAGGAATGCGCGACTTCCGCATAAATTTGGACATACTGAAAACGCGTGTCGTACAAACTGAGGATGTGGAGCCGAGAAGAAAGAAGCGTGCCACCCAGATCACTGAGAGAAATGAAGGGCAGGAAAATGATGTTGATATGACAGCGGTGACCGAAGAAGGTGAAACTACCACAGAAGAAGAAGAGAAACATAGTAGTCGGTTGAGTGCTATCTTTTGAATTAATTTAGTGCCCAATTAATTCCTTTCTCATTTGGTTCACAGGTAATTATTGCAGATGGAGATTGCTGGTACCAAGATTTTTTTTTGAAATTAGTACCCGGCGCCATTTGAATATATCGTGTTAACATGTGGGTTCCCACATCTATCTCAAAACGAAGTGACCTCTCTACACTTTCCTTAACTTCTTCGATCTCCCCAAGATTGTCTGTAAAGAAATTAATCCTGTGAAATTGCTACTTTTGTGAATGTTATTTCATGTATTTTTTTGATGGAAAATTGGAATAAGGAAAAAAAACTTGATCAAAAGAATTGTTGTCATAAGAGAATGCCGTTTCTCGGGCTTGCGCTTGGCACCTCTACCTTCACATTTCATTGAAATACTTTGCGTCCCATAATTATAACTCCACCTAAGAATTTCCCAAAATCTCACAAATTTAGATGTTTTAGAAAAAGTCTCCAATGTGGCAGTGTGTCAAATACAAATACGAAATTGCCTATAAACATCAACTTCCAACTTGAGATCCCAGGAATTTTTTCTAATAATTTTTGTTCAAAAGGCCACTTAGCCGACGTCCCAAAATTATAACTCCACCTCATGTTTTTCTATTATTTTTCACTTCCGTTTCGCCAAACTTTTTATTGTGCTAACATCCTACTTCTCAAGGGGACAGTATGATAGAAAATGCTGTCTGACTTTCAAAAGGTCAGGTCGTCGCAAAACCTGCCAGCGTCAGGCCCAGTTGACAGGCCGGCTGATGAATACCCCAGTCACACCAATCATGTCTGAAAGTTGTCAAAGAATCAGTGATAAAGCTAGGACGTCACCCGGAAGTGGCACGCCTATCGTTGTGCCCTTCGTCAATGGACAGCAATACGGTGCAAGAATGGTCGCGAAATTGCAATAAGTGAATGTTTTCTCAATGGACATGGATCTCTGAAAAGTAGGAGTCGCTGTGTGAGAGAAAAGACGGCGGAACCCTTTTGTAGATGGTGGAGTCATGCAGCACGTGTGAATTATTCCTCTCTCATGAGTGAGCCCGTGTGTCGACGATTATGTATTCGGAGTTATGTATCAAACGTCTATCTCATCCTCTGATTGTTCAGATCTCATATAAGCTGATGGATTGATATCCCGGATGAGCTTATAGTCTCGGCAACCTTCCCCTTTTAATCTCGCACTACTCACGCAGTGACTCTACAGTGACCTGTGACGTGCCTGCCGCCTCCTGTGGAATCTGAAGTATCCTGCCTCGCAGGCCCATTGTACTTGGCCTTTCTGCTCAGCGTTGGACGACCTGATGTGTCGTATAAGGTGTTTAATGCCTCATCAAGAAGGAAATCGGTAAATAGTTATAAAATCAGACTCATAGAGCCCACCCATTACCGTCCATAAAGGACGTCAGGTGCAAACCTAACAGGCAAGGGTGTGTCTAGGCAAGCTTTGCCATTCATGCATCTACGTAGAAGAGTCTGGTGTCGGAGCGAGGACGAGTGCGAACCTGCTCGCAGTGTTCACCCTGCAATGGTTGTCAGGCCCAGCTTTTCGCACGCTTCGCTAACACCTATGACTATTTGTCCTCTTGCTACCTGCAAGCGCCAGGTACCTGGATCGCTCGAATCAGCCAGTCTCCTGGTGGGATGACATAGTCGCAGACGAGCCACCAGTGCAGTTATCGTTCTCTCGAATGTGTTCGTAATTATGCTCTGATCCGCTGTTGATAGCCGCTCTATCCGCAAGCCGTTTTAATGGCGGTTCTCTTTCCTAACAACTCTGATCACGACGAAGTCTATATGCTAATGTGTCCTTGTGTAACTTTCGTCAACGCACATACTGGTTACTCGGCCAAAGGCTCTCCCTAGTTACATATTTTCATGTGACGCATAGCGTACTAGGCATACTGTCAAAATTTTGGCTATCGCTGGTCGGGATCACAGTTATGAGACCAATGGTCTCAAGAGGTTTCCATTGTGCCTAACGTGAGAGGGCGAATGCCATGGCGTTATCCTGAAGGGTTGAGGTATATAACGCCCTAGGTCTCGAGTCGTCATTTGCGTCTTGTGATTCCCTTCCGGTTGTGAGAATGTGATGCTTTGCGAATCGGAAGTCTGGCGGCCGACAGGAGTAGTGCTTCTTGTTACGGCGATTGTCATGATAGGTGTATGGATTTCTGGCGAAACACTTAGGGATAACTATCGCATGCTGCAGGACGGAGACTAGACTATAAGGCGTTCGTGTTTAATAGACTCACCCTGGTTGTCTATATTGACTTCTTTAAAAAAGCGAATCAGAATCTAGTCATGTCGCGTGTCGAAGAAAGAATCTCTCGTTTTCGTGTACTCTCTTAAAATGTCGTTAATTCTTTATATTAGCATGTAAATTTCCTTCGTAGGCTAAAAGTGAGTGTGTGTACTAGAGAAACTGAAAATTCGTAGTTTTACTCTTCATGCGAGTGCAGAACAAGAATCAAGCACTCATGTCGAAACTAATTACTAAAGTGAAGGTGTCATGAATATACTTGAGGAAAAATTCATCCAAGTAGTGTAGAAGAATGTATGAAATGAGGCTAATAATAAAGTAATTGTAAAATTCTCTTTTCACAAAGAAAACATTTATTCGCCACACCTCTATGTGTAAAGAACCATGCGCTATTGCCAATGCAACCTCCCTTCGGAGTCAAGGCGCAATGCTGGAGCTAGAGTTAAAGCTTCATCGCGAGAGTCAGAATGAAATCGCTGTAAATAGAGATGTGAAAGCATGCACTCCAAAATGCACATACGCTGAAAGATAATGCTCGTAGACTCTGAGTTGCTCTGATCAAGGGGGTCTCATATAATATTGCGCACGCTTCTCACTGGGTTTCTCCGAGCATCTGCAGCATCGAAAGTCTCGAACTACCACAAGTGCACATAAGAGTGTGGTCCAAAAGTCGCACTGACTATGAAGACTAATACCATTGACGATACCTCTAAAGGGCTAAACAAATTGACTTGGTGCCTCGCGTGATATAAGCCACGAACTCTATAGAGTTCATGGAAGTCGAACGGAGGAGACTAAGGGTTTAGAAGTGGAGCTGCATTCGAAGAGCTCCGGGCGTATCGACGGATGAAGAGGAAAGCAGAGTGACGAGGTGAAAGACATTAACATATAACTTATAAGGGCAAAAGATGCATCGAATCCCATATATGATAGCTGTCTCTCGAAATAGTCTGTACAGCCATACAAAGTTGAGCTCTGAGATAGGCGTGGGCGAAGATTTGCGCATGAGACATAGTAATCGACATAGTGAATGGCAGAAACTTGTTACCAGGCTTACGGGGAGAGCCTTGGAGGAGAAGCTGAGAGAGCAGAAACGCAGAAAGTTCGTCTTCAGGCTGGCTAAGGCCCGGCATCGTGCTACCCAAGACATCAGGGTGGTGAAAAGTGTGAAAGGCAGCGATGGTGTCATCCTAAGGAAGCCAGCCGAAGTCAAGAGGAGGTGGGAAGAGTACTTCAGTGCACTTCTGAACGAGGAGTTCCCCCACAAGAACAACTCACGGGCAGAGGCCACAGCTGGTCCCATCGCACTCTGGACTGAGGATGAGGTTAGGTGTGCACTTGGGAGGATGAAGGTTGGAAAGGCGGTTGGTCCGGATCGTAGTCAAGCGAGGCGTTGAGGAAAATTTGGAAATACGACCCCCCCCCCTCCGCCAGAGGCCGAAGTCCATGAAACAACCCTCTTCAAAAGCCGAACTATGAAAAGTTTGTCGATTCTCTCCCGGAACTGTTCATAAAAAAGTTTGGAACGAAAGTTTGACCGAAATGACGTCTTAAAGCCATAAAAAGGAAAATTTTACTTAATTTCCTTTAGCTGGTTCCAAAATTAATTTGGACGTGGTTGTTTCAGTAAAAACACATATCTTCCCATACGAATAGGTTTGTATTCGCTTCTATTATTCCTTTTTATCAACATGTCTACGTTATTGAAAAGAAAACGAGGAATGAATTGAACAGACATATCCGTAAGGTCTGCCAAACCAAAGAATATTTGACCTTTCTGTGAGCCATGTGGTTTTAAGTATGCTAATGTATAATGACCTATAGAATGAGTACAAAGACCTTAGGAATAAGTCGCACAAGCGCAAGAAAAAGGGATGACTTGGGTGGGACGCGTTACCGCGTCACAATGTCCCACGAGGTGCGCAAAGTGGGACGCGTTACCGCGTCACGCTGTCGTCAACGTGTTAAATAGTCTCGTAGACGGCAAGTGACGTAATACCAGTGAATCGCATCTTAATCGCCGTGTACAAGTAATTTCGTGACGTTACCAAAACACTCAACGTGGGCGATGTCTGGGAAATACTCTATGGAGGCGGCGGCGATGTCTATGGAGTTACGAACGAAAGCACTTCTAACCTTTCCCGATTACTGATTGCAGATGTGGTCAATTACAGCTACCCTTCAAGGCATGGCCGTTTTTGATGAAATGTGATCTCCTTTGATTCAAGTTTTGACGAGTTACAGCGGAGATGGAGGTCTCTAACTAGCTTTTCCTGATAGAAGATATAATGAGATATAGAGGATATGATGTTTGAACTGAAGGCCGTCCCCAACCATAAATAAAGGATAAAGCATTTGCCGTTGATCAATCCCTTTTTGGGATGCGGCACGCATTCTACTTCCATTTGTACATTCGCAGTGGCATTTGAATGCGATGTGTGCCTATACAATGACTTGCGGGGGCCAGCCGATGTTCAAGCCATCAATTTGTTGAGAATGAAAAACAATCGGTATCATACGAAAAAAAAAAACTGCCGTAATCACCCTTCCCACGTATGCAGTGGTGGGTGGGCTCGAGTTGAGGTGCTGAAGGTTGTGTTCGCGTGTTCTCACCCCCTTCCTGCTATAGCGCGCATATTTCGTCTTATTGAACAATGGGTTCTACCTGCTCATCACTGAGCAAGCTAATTCCCATTTTACGAACACTTTTTTTTTATCGCGTCGCTGCCTTTAAGTACTCA